CACATAACGGTTCGTTTTTCAGCCCATGTTATAAATATTCCCTCCACTCGTGTGTGGGGGTACTTTTGCTCATTCCAACAGCTGAGAAACACGTTTGAGAGTGCCAAGAAGAGCAAGGTACTAGTGAGGTGATTAAGATTTGAGAATCCCAAAGAGAGCCCTCATTAGTGAGATCAAGAGTAGCAAAGTGTGCATCCACCCTTCTCATTAGGCTTGTCGTGGTCAAGTGAGAGTTCGTGCTTGTTACTCTTGGTGATCGCCATCACCTAGACGGCTTGGTGGTGATTGGGAACTTGATGATCATCCGGAGAGCTTGTGAATGACCCAACTCATATTGTGAGCGGTTGTGGGTGATTTAACGCGACGGAGTGTCGAAGAATCAACTCGTAGAGAGCACTTGATCCTTGCGCGGATCAAGGGGAAGCTACACCCTTGCGCGGGTGCTTTAACGAGGACTAGTGGGGAGTGACGACTCTCCGATACCTCGGCAAAACATCGCCATGTTCCTCCTTCTCTATTTACTTTGAGCATTTACTTTGAGCAATTCAATTCTTGTATTTATATTCATAGAATTCCCATGCGAAAGTAGAATTGGAATTTAGGTTGTAAGTCTTTTGTACGGTAGAACAATTAGAAACACTTTCTAGGCACAAGGGGTTAATTGGGCTAACCATAGTATTTAATTATTGCAAAGAAATTTAGAATTAGCCCAATTCACTCTTCTTTTGGACATCTTGATCCTTTCACAAACCAAACACATGCTCTCTCTCTGTTCACAAAAGAATGTAATTCTCGTATTTCAAGGAGTCAAACAATTTAAATTTTGACTGAAATTATATAAAAATGTTCTAACACTCATGAAACAAAATAAATACCATTAGATTAGTTAAAGAATATATTTTCATAACAAATTTATTTGGAGATATAAATGCTAATACTATTTACTTTAAATTTGATCAAACTTGAGCTAGTTTGACCGGTACATTTTCCATAATTGCATTTTTTTCATGGACAAAGGTAGCCACCTGTACGGTTCTTCTTTACCCAAACTCCCGGCCTCCAAATTGTACATGCGGCTTAACTTGCCAAAATTTTATGCAAATAGTCTTCATGAATGTTTATGTTCCTTCTATCTTGGCGTGCATTTAAGCCTGCTTCTTTTCTTCTTTAGAGATTAGGACGTGTAAGGGATGAAAACTGATTGGATACGGAAGGATATCACCGATATTATATTTGTTTTCATATATTTTTTCAGATTCTGATTCGAAAACGGATAGTATCAGCTATATCGGATAAGATACGATTGAGTATCGATATTATAAATATGCAATTTGAGTATTCAGATACGGATACGATATCGGATGTTGAATATCCAGACTCGGATACGGACGGATCTAAACTCCTCGAAACAGATTCAATCTTATCAGAAAATATCCGTACCATTTTCACCCCTACTGTTGCACTTGCACCACCTGTACCCAAGTTACTGACTCCAATGGATTAATCTTTAAGCTCATGCAAGATTCTCTTTCTCAATTCTCGTCCTCCTCTTCAATTCTGGCAATGTACCCGGAATGGTTGGCAATATATGCTCCGCAGTCAGATCAATCTACCTTGCATTTGGACTAGTCAGCGACGATTTGAGGATATTATGCTCAGAGCCTCAGACCAGTCGCCCAGTCGGTGACTTCTGACTTCCGAGTGCGAGTTCAGACCCATGGCCACCATCCCCTTCCCAGGCCGGCCCATAAGGCCCAGTCCACACGCCCGCGACTCGCGCACCTCCTCTCAGTTCTCACGAGTCTCTGGAATATTCCAGATGGCTGACTAGCCTGACTCCCTCAGTGCTGGCGGACATAGCACCGCCGCCTCCAATCCCCAGTCTGGTGGTCCCCATCCGTCCCTAACCCTTACTACCAGGTGGCGGGGGCGTGGGGCTCCTGGCAAGTGGCGGCCTAGCGGACTGGCTGAGCTCCTCGCTCCTGTTGGCGGGACTCTTGGCGGCGGGCGGCGGCGGGCCAGCTGCGATAACCCCAGTAATGCATTAGCCGCCGTTGATTCTTGTGCTCCTTTGAATCACAATGATTACTACAATTCAGTGAACCTCTGTTGATTCTTGTGATCTCAATTGTAATCCATTACAATACTCGTCTGAACTTTGATGTCTCCCGACAGGGGTCCTTCAAGGACAAACCATCTGCCCCCCTCAGCTGCCTGATTCTTGAGGGATATATCATGGCTCCGGTTGAGAGCCCGCAGAACGACCTCCGGAGGCTGCGGAGAGGTGGTGCCATCGAGCGAAAGAACAGCACGACCAAGCGACGACCTGATGTAAGTTAACTCGTCCTTGCCTAATTAATTACTCCCTCAGGAAAGAATGCAATTCTAGCACAGTGTCATGGCTTAGTATCATAAGTTCGATCAATTATAGATAAAAAAGTATCAATATTTATGATATCAAAATAAATATCATTAGATTAATTACGAAATGTATTTTCATAATAAATTATTTTAGAGCCATAAATGTGAATAGTATTCACTAGAAATTTGGTCATACGTGAACCATTTTTGCTAGCATGCAACCCGTAGTTGCATTCTTTTCTGGACAGAGAGAGTATTAGTCATATTAGTCACTTTGATCGTTCATGTGCATACTCCGTATATGCCAAAATAAAAGCAGCTGTACCGTGGCCGTACGTGATGGATCTCTAAGTATTGCTTTGAGTTGTGGACTTGTCCCCCGCTATTGTTGGTTACTGACTGCACAAGTGAAGGATCACTGACTGCCATATTAGAATGACTGGCTTAGCAAAAGGCAATGTTTTTGAGGCGCCGCGCGCGCGCCCGACCCCCTTCACAACGCCTAGGCGTTTGTGGCGGACGCCTAGGCGACGCCATACACACATTGTAAGGCGTTGTAAGCTAGAATTTTATATACTAGTGCAGCACATACATACCTTGTTTGTTGCCAATTCTTGAGCCCATATTCAGAGCAGACAGAGCAGAGCATAGCATAGCATATCCAGTTCGTGAGCAGAGCACGAGGAGGCAAAGCGAGAGTATACAATATTCGACTTTAGAGCAAAGAAGACAAGCAGAGCGAGATGAGAGAGTGGGTGGCGTGCGGCGGCACCTTGGGGCGCCAAGAGCAGAGCATAGCATAGCATATCCGTCGGCGCCAAGAAGCGAAGCGAGCATAGCATAGCATATCCGTCGACGCCAAGCTCCAGACGCTCTGCGTAACATCGCCAAGGTCCAAGAAGAAGGGCGCCAAGAAGCCCGCCTCCACCATTGCAGTCTTGCCACGTCGTCGTCCACCCCCCACCAAAGAATCGCCTCTTCGCCGCCCCTCCTCGACGACGCGCGTCCTCGTCTTGCCTCGAGTCCGCAATGAGTCCTCGTGCCCATCCTCGTCGCCGTCGCCTCCGCGAATCGTCGACGGTGCCGAGATGCAAGAATTGGACTTGATGAGGCGCCGGTGGAACGAGGCCGCTAAGCCAAGGCTCACAAGTACCTGTCGACGAGATTTGGAAAAGCAGTGGAGGCGGGGGGGGGGGGGCATACCAGAGGAATAGCAGAGTGGAGGCGGGGGGCATACCAGGCGGAAGGGGACCCGACGGAGGCGCAGTCAACAGGCGGGCCGACGAAGGAAGATGCAGGCCGGATCCGCGGCAGGGGCGGCCGGCCAGTGGACACGAGCAAAGTAGCAGCCCAGCGGAGGTCGAGGTCCGTCCGTCGCCTTCTTTCTTCCTCTCCCCTCGCCCGCACTCGCGCCTCTTCCTTTTCCCGCGGGCGTGCGGTCGATTCCCGCGCCTCTTCCTTTTCCCGCGAGCGTGCGGTCGATTCCCCGCGGGGCCGAGCTCCTTTTGGCGCCCTTCCCCTACGACCGGCATCCGGCATCCGCGGCGCGGTGGTAGGCATCCGCCCGACGCCATTCGCGCCTAGGCGACGCCTAATCCTATGAGGCGGACGCCATACACGCTGAGGTCGTGGCGACCCCGACGCCCAGGTCCTCGACCACGCCTTGTCGCCTAGGCGACGCCTCAAAAACATTGGCAAAAGGAATGTTATGCTATGTCACACATACAAGTACATCACTGCCTCAGTGGGCAGTGGCTGTGCCTGTGCTTGGAAGTGTTTTGAATTGTTTAGAATTTGGATCCTGATGTGCTTTAGCTTTACCTAACGCTAAAAAAAAGAAGCACATGTTGTACTTCACTTTAGTTTACTGTTTAGAAACTCTTTTCAAGAAGTTGCATATATCCTTAAAACAAATCTGAATCCAGATAAAAAATAGATATAACTTAATGTTGGTATTTGTCAAAGTTCAACTAGGCGCTAGGCGGAATCTAGGCGCTGACCCATTGCCTAGCGCCTAGTCGGGAGTACTCGGTCCTAGGCGCTCCTAGGCGTTTTCCTAGGCGTTTTGGCAATATAGCCATAAATTATATATATATTATGTATATAACTATATATATGTATATAACTACTATATATGAGTCACAGTAAGTATAAAAAGAGGGCCAGTAGACATATCTGATTCCTAGCTGGCTTACTCTTGCATGTTCCTAGCTCCTACAACACATTTTGACAGCTAGTAGTTAGTAAATTAGTCAATAGACAGCTAGCTGTTCATCAAAAAAATTAGAAAACACTAAGTTGTGACTTATCTTGATGATTTCAGCAGCCTCCCATCCATGAGCACACCATATCAGCAGCTGGTAATTACAATACAAGTGGATAGGACAGTAATACAAGTGCACAACACAATTTATAAATAAAGGACAGCACAAGCACATAGTTCTTAGTTCAGGTCTCACAAATCACAAAAGAAGACACACAGACACAAAGTCATACAGGGGAGATGAGCAGGGGAGGAGTTGCCAGCATGGGAGGGGAGAGGAGCATGGGAGGGAAGGGAGCTCACCTTGGGGACTTGGGGTGGCCGGCGGGGAGGGGTTCCAGTCGAGGACGAGTAGGACGGCGGCGGCGAGTCGACGATGAGCAGGACCGGCGGCGCGCGAGTCGGGGACGAGCAGGGGACGAGCTTGGACGAGCAGGGGAGGAGCAGGACCGGCGGGGAGGAGGTCGTCCGGCGGGATGGACCTCGCCCGGTGAGGAGGACCGGCGGCGGGGACGACCAAATCTTACGCGGGGACGAGCGAATGGCGCCACGCTCCCTTCTAATCCTCCCGCGCCTGGGTCTCGTGGCCGCGCGGGAATTCCTCCCGCGCTCTGATTTGGCGCGCCAAAATTGGCCACCCTCGAGCTCGCGCTCATCTCGCGCGCCTACGCGCCGCGTCCGCGCGCGCCTACGTGCCGCGATGCGCGACTATGCCCCTAGTCGCGGCGACGGGCTTCGCCCAGCGACTAGGCGCGCGTAGTCACCGAGTAGTCGCCGCCTAGCCGAACTTTGGTATTTGTACTCCCAATGAGGTTTTCGGGTTTTGAATAATTATAGGGTTAAGTGCCCAGGACACATAAATGTCTGCATAAAAAGGCATTATGAATTGCCTCTATTTGCTCAAAAGTTGCATTCAGTTTGTCTACGTACTGGTTGTATATCACTATATCCTTCGTTATTCAAGATAATATATTCATTTTTTCCATCTAAACTACTCCGTCATGGTCTAAACCTTTTCAGTGACATGTCATAGGAAGTTCTTTCTAGTAAATTACAAATTGACCAACTTTCTGTGCCAAACATGCAAAGAATACCATCTTTAATACAAAGCTGATCTGTGTAGCACCTCTTCTGTGCTGAAGCCTTGCTTTCCACCATGTCCATGTCCATGTTCATGTTTAGTGTCCGAAGCCCTTCTTGACACTTTGAGATAAAGAAATAAAACTCGACCAGGATGAGACTTGAGAGACGTGCCCCTGGTTTTGTTCTTTAGAAGTTTGTGTCAGCCTTTGAACTTGGACTGCTGACGGGGGTTTCATCGACCCTCGGACTTCAACAGTCTAACCAGTGTAACACAGGAGAAGTTGGCCCAGCACCAATAAGATGATGGACAGTATTGTCCAGGTAGGATGCCTGGTGTATCCAATGTGTAATCTGTATCTGGGATTGCTTGATCAGGCAGAAGAAGTGGGATCAAGCTCAACCCCTTTAAACTGGCTTGGGCAACACCAACACCTCTTGTTTAGAGTAGAGTTAAAGTGCCAGCATGATTTCCCACTCCAATAGGTCGCAAGTACATTCCCAAAGGTAACGTCCATCCTAGCGAACACAGTTCACCATCTCAGCGCTGTCACAGATGGACCTAAGCTGTAACGGCAGGCACACGGCAGTAAACCTGATGCAAAGCAAGGATTCATAATAGAGAAGGTAGCTCAAGGAGCAGTTTTACTACTGGTGTTCTTTTCAAAATTTTCGAACATCTGGTGCAAAGTGCATTTTACTCATATTTGTAATTTATTACTGAATGTAAGTTTGTTTAGTTACTACATATGGTAAAACATGTACAGCTCACCATATGTGTGCCCTTTTAAACTAGTTCTCTATTAGTTTCTTTATTGGTTAACATAACATTTTTTATGTTCATTTTCTATGGGTGTTGTTGATTCAATTTCACAAAATTAAGATAAATCTGCTCTTTGTGTAGGGAGATGATCTTTGTGCAATATGTGACGATGGTGGTGATGTAATATGGTAGGTTCATTTAAAATCAATTTTAATTGCTTGTCTCCTTTATATGTGCGGTTATGATAATTGATTCACTAATGTAATCATATTGTCACTGTTTCCCTAAGAATTGTTCACATTTGAAAATTTAACGATCTATGTTAACCACTTTCTTTCATTGAATACTCTCTCCGTTTCAAGATAAAGTTGTGGTTTGCCTCCATGCATTCTTTGCAAACTAAATTTTTACCATTAGTTTCCCTTTTAGCTGTTACATCGTTAAAAAACTCACGACTGTGCCCTCAAAAAGAAATCATGGCTGTAGGAAAATAATTTGAAATATGAACCTCATGGTATTGTTTTTTTGTATGAAAAAACATACTTTAATCATGATGTTTGAAGATTGAAATGTATGGACACCATAGTAAAAGAAGCAGGGCTGGGTGGGTTGTCCTAGTATTAGTTGATGATTATTTACAGATTAATGGAAATTGTTTTTGTTCTTGGAAGCCATAGGGAAAATGCTAGACCAAAATTTTCATTCTTCCCATATGCTTCTAGCAATATTGTATAATTCAGAAAGAGTGTATGTTTTCGACTTACCAAATAAACAAGTAATATCCTTTTGTGTTGTACAAAGAAAGAGGATGAGCATCAAACAAGATGTTTTTTTTAACAAACCATATACTATGTTCTACTCCCTCCGTTCCAAATTGTAAGTCTTTCTGGCTTTTCTAGGTATATTGTTTTTTTGCTATGTATCTACAAAAGCCAAAATGACTTATAATTTAGAATGGATGGAATATATTACTGCTATGTTCAAACAACAAAAACAGTATGTCAGTTTCCATTTTTCCTTGCAAGCCTTTTACTTCCAGTCAAGTTTGGCGTAGACTAGAGATGAAACCCAATAGCGTGACACATCAGCACATTTCCACCAGTTGTCTGGTTTCCCTTAAATCATTGGTACACCTAAAAAATGCACAATAAATGCACCAATGTTCCAAAATTTCTAATATTAGATCAGTTACAAAATTTCCAGAGCAATACAAGGGTGACTCCTTGTTCCAAGCTTAATGCAAATGTTGTCTTACCTTGAACTTTTTAGCTGTGATGGTGTATGTCAGAGGTCCTTCCACCTAGCTGATGGAAACAGTGAAAGATCGAGGTGCAGAGAAATCCTTAGGTTAAGTGCTGAACAGGCAAAGGTATCTCCTGACCAAGTTGCCTGTTTCTTCAAGTTTTCATTTGCTTCTAAATGTCTAAAAAATTGACATAGCTATTCGTATTTCCATTCATAACTCAGATGATCCTTGCTGCTGATAAAGATTTTATATGCAAGAACTGCAAGTATCAGGAACATCAGTGTTTTGCTTGTGGAAAATTGGGGTCTTCAGACTTGTCATCAGAAGCTGAGGTAGGCATGTCAGAATCATGTTTCATGAGTTTTGAACTTGATTTATTTGAAAGTGTTGAAGTGAAATGACAAATAATTACTTTGAGATTAGGTAAAAAAAAAGAGAAGGGGACCTTTTCTTTTTGTATAGGAAAAGAATACATAAACTATCCCAGGATGCACCAGAATGCACATATGCTGAAAATGTTTGAAAATTTTCAGTATCTGCATGCTATCATTTGAATAGATTTAATTATTTGCCTTTCTGCCTGACTTGACAGGTGTTCCAATGTGAGGTTGATGATTGTGGGCACTTTTACCACCCTAAGTGTGTTGCTAAATTGCTCTACCCAGATAGCGAAGACAAGGCCACACTTTTTGAGGTCCAAGTTGCTGTTGCCAGAGAAAAATTCACTTGTCCTATGCATGAATGTATTGTGTGCAAGGGAGGAGAGAATAAGAATGATAGGAATATGCAATTTGCAGTATGCAGACGCTGCCCAACTACATACCACCGGATGTGCTTGCCAAGGTACTCCTTCATTCTGGAGATGCCTATGCTCCCTTTCTTGTTATGTTCTATTGTGAAACCAGGATTTTTTTTCTTGACAATTTGTAAATTTTTTCCAGTAACATCCCCTTTGAAACAAAGGAAGGTCCCAATGGCTCTATGCAAAGGGCGTGGGATACGTTTGAGGGACCAGATGGACGATTCATTCATCGTGATCGAATTTTGATCTACTGCGTGTGTGTTAACTCACTCATCTTCCTCCTGATTGGCTGTTGACTCCAGTTACCACTCCAGATTTATTGTCTTATGTTAAAATCTTTTGCAGGAAGCATCCCATCGTAAAAAAGTTGAAAACTCCCAAGTGGGATCACATCATCTTTCCTGATGTCAAAAAAATCCGTGTACCAAAAATGATCGTTGGTACACACAATGAAGATGATATACCCGAGGAAGAAGATCCGCCGGAGCCTGATGATATACCCGAGGAAGAAGAGCCGCTGGAGCCTGAACCATCTCAGTCTCCTCCATCTGAATCTCCTCCGCCAGATGCAAGTGATCAGATTCAGTGCTCCTGTTCTAGTCCCATCGACTCATTTGCACCAGCGTCCTTGTTTATGCATCCACATCCAGGCACTTGTGGTTGGCTTGGTGACTGACCGTCTGGCAGCATAACTCACTCTCACATTTACTAATACACCCTCTCAGTAATAGGTCCTTTTGCAAATTGCATGAATGAGTAGCTTGGGCGCGTTTCAGTACCAGAATTAATAACTGGGTTTTCTAGCTTGTAGCACATAATCCATCCATGTCCGAATTATTATTTTTTAATAAATATACTGAGCCAGTCCAACCCGCCCATCAGTTGCGGCACAATGTAGGCTGCTAGCTGTTGTGTGCTGCTACTGTTCTTCCTGGGAGATCGCTTGCTCATGTTTACTCGTTAAGCGCAGCTTCAACTTGCAGGCGGGCTCGTTCGTGGCCGGCCGCTAACCCACCTCGCTTGCCGTAAAGTTTATTAGCGGGCTTGCGGCTTGCCATAAAGCTGCGGATCTTGCGGACAAGTGTTCCGCGGATACAATAAACTTGTATGCAAAACCTGCAAGACAACAAACTCAATCAGCTGCCCAATAGTCATACGGGATGGAATAGCATGTGGATTCACAATAATATCGGGCGTGATGCCTTCGATTGTCCATGGCATATCCTCTTGAGTGTAAGTCATCCCAACAGTTCCTTTTTGCCCATGCCTACTGCTAAACTTGTCTCCAATTTGTGGTATGCGAACAGATCTCATCCTAACCTTGACAAATCTTAGACCATCCGCATTTGTTGTTAACAGAACCTATACAGAATACCGCAGCCTTAGTAGCTTGTTGGTGAAGTTGCCCATCACAAACCACCTATTGATATAGGAAGGTGAGAAACTACGAACCTGATCTACCATGGCACTTTCACTGTGACGCAGAGAAGTACTATGGTCATGCTTCGAGTATCTAGAAGCTTGCCCTTGAGCGTCATCCCGTGGAATAGGAGATGGCTTCCCAATAATGACATCTTCCCTCGAGACCCTTGTTCCCTGATACATTACATGAATTAAACATATGCAATCAGCATTACCCCTGATAAAGATAAATCTGCACAGATGAAGTCCTCTACTCACAGGTGGTGCAAGGCCATCATCATCTAGTTTATCATATGACCCATGGCGCATTCCCTACAGGAAAAATTATTAGAATATTAGCCTCGTGAGAAGAAAAGAGAAAACCGTAATACAATTTTGAAAACACACCATAGTATTTTCCCTATCTGGACGACCAAATTCCTCTTTGACAAGTGTACCCATCTTCTTTTCCTCATCTCTGCATATATGAAGTTTAAATCATCAGACTAAAAGCAGTTTAAGCACTAGACTACTTCATGGATGCCCAGCTTACAATTTGCGCTATACCTGTAAGAGCCGAAAAATAGTGATCGGAAGAACCCACGATCTATGGAAGATTGATTCATAATAACTGAATCTTCTTGATTATATCCAGAATAACAAGCGATAGCAACAATTGCATTCTGCACCCAAATCACCAAAATAATATTGATAATCAATGGACAGAACAGAAAGGAAATATGACATGTAGAAAGCACCCTAAAGTTAAGGGCAAATTGCTCACTCACAATGCCAGCTGGTAACTGTCTGAAGTGCAAATGTTCCATAGCACGAGTAGTAACTAGAGGCTTTTGTGGGTAGTATAGAACATAGGCCAACGTGTCCTGGATCATGATGGCAGATTGATAAGGTTCAGACCTATATCAACATGTGAAGAAAATCAAACAAATAGTGTACTCACCATCCTTAACTGGTAATTGGTGACATAAATTCCCATGGCTTGCTTTCCCATAGCAGACTGATATGTATTACGAGGTGACTGCATTATCAATGGGAAGAATTAGACCTTGTCAGAGGGGGGGGGAATATTATACAACTGAAACCCCACAGAAGTGAATGGTTCAGCTGGTTGTGGTCAGGAAAAGGAATAATCGACGCACAAACACCAAGTATCAATGAAGGATGAATCTCACAATGTGTGTAAGTTTCAGAGTAAGCATCCTGTGGGTTGTGCCTTGCATTTTGAAGGTCCTGAAATTGTTTCATTGGCATTAGTAGGTGAAGGTGAATATATAGAAGGAAAAAAGGCAAAGCTATACTGGGATTCCATGGAATATCCAGAACGGTATAGACAAAATCCTTTCATACACAAGGGCCTCATAATATGTTCAATCAGGTACACATGCATATCCCACTTACACGTATGGTCATGGAGATCATGGTAGTCTCCTCTTCTTCAGTATCTATGTATTCTATAAATCCTTTTGAGACCAATTCATGCCAGCCTTCATCAGGAGTCTCCTGGATAAGTGGACAAAAGGATAGAAGAAGCTTATAAGAAAAATTATGCACATGTCAAATTAAGTGGAAGCCAGCACATGTTGTTCAATGTCAGACCCTTTGTTGCAAAGCTCGGATATGCGCCGCAGCTTGTTAGCATTTCTCTTCCTTTCCATGTTCTTTTTTTTTACTTAGATGTCCAAAGTAAATAACGAAATTTAAAAAAAAAATCCCTAGTCGAATTTTCTAAAGAAATATGCATTAACGATAAGTTCATCGTACCTCATGCTTTATTTTTTGCCACCTAAAACAAGAAGTCATTAGTCATGGTCATTGATTCCCGATCATTACCGACGTGATTCGGACCACACTATTCTGTTCCCGATTATCCGACGTAACCATTTCCATTTTCTTGACCAAAGTCTCCATTTCTGTTTCTGTTTCTTGGTAATAATATGAAAACAAAAGTGTTTAAAAGCTTTTTCGACAGTTTTCGTCCCTACCACAAAATAGGCCTTGCCTTCGTCAAATGCTTGTATTGACAGGTGGCCTCCTATCTAGCGCCCTCTACTGCTTGGCTATTACCTTAAAAAAATTGATGGTACATTCAAGAAAATATTACGCCTCTAATTAATGGGTTCTTTGTCGCGTTCAATATTAATTAATATGTTCTTTTCATTAAATTAGGGAACCAAATAAAGAAACACATATTTTCATCTCAAAATAGATGATCTTATAGGTCGGGGCGCGAGAATTAAGGAGTGGAAAAATATGGTGCGTAGAAAATAAGAAGAGAGATAAATAAAGGTAGAGATAGAGATGTATCGGGAAAAAAATATGGTTGTCATTTCGTTTGCTACCAATTTGCTAAATTTTTTTGTCTAAATTTTACTTGTCAAATCTTTAGCATGGTAAAATTTAGCCACAAGCGGACGTGCGCATAGTGTGGCGGTGGCGACTCCCCCATCGTGGAGCGCACCTGTCCGCGTTCGATTCCTAATATGGGATCGAACCAGGTGTTGCATCGGGGATTTTCCCGAGAGGAAGCCGAGCAGGTGAGTGTGAGTAGTGCGTGTACATGTGTGCTTGGTAGATGCATTCCTAGGGATCGCGGGCAGTCTCATTTGAGCGTGCGGTTAGACTGTCTTCAACAACCGTTGTCCAAAACAAGACCTATTCCATATTTGGGTAGCGTTACAGAGAAAGGGTTCAATACTCATTTTTTATTTTCTCCAACAACAAGACTCAAAGAGAATTTTTTCTACAAATAGATCTTTAAGAGAAAGAATACTTAAATTTGAATTTGGGTTACAGCTCTCCTCGCACCCAAACACAGACCGGGCCTCGTCAAGGTCCAGGACAGCTGTACAGTCACACAGAACAAGCGGCGTTTCAGAAACCAACAACGCCCACCCTCCGCCGGCGCGGATAGACGAATCTCTTCTCTAGCCGTCGTTTGCACCGGCCCGAAATGGAGATGCTTCCGGGATGCTGATTCCTTCCCTCTGGTGAGGACCCCTAACCTGCTCGGCCGGGTCTTGGTTGCGAGTCCAATTCTTCTTTTCTCCCCATCAGTTAGTGCCGGAATTCTTCGCCATGGTTGGGGTTTTCGATTAGGTACGGAATTCTTCGTCACGGTTGGGGTTTTCGATTAGGGCCGTCGCCTTCAGCGGGTGCAAGATGCGGCCATCGACCGAGCGTAGCTAAGCTGATGCGGGTGCATTTTGTTTTCCAGAAACTAGAATTAACTGTAGATGATTGCCCTCAGCAACGTAATGCAGTGCAGCGAGCTACGGTTGGTTCTGTTGATTCTTGATTCTTATTCAGTTAACAGAAATTTATTGTCGTTGATCAGGGTACTTCGACGGCAGAGGAGAACAAGTTGGGGTTTTGATCGGTCCATCAGTTGCTCTTGCTGTGGGAAGGAGTTGCCTGCCTGATTGTTGGACTCTTTGGGGAGGCAGGCCATGGATCAAGTAGAGAGTTCACGCAGTGAATTTCGGACACCAAGAGGTGCACTTGATGTGAAGCGGAAGAGCAAGAAGAGGCGCAAGGCACAACCTGATGATGTAAAATGAGCTCACAAACCTGCTATTTTTGTTTGTTCTATGTATTAATTGGAAATTTTGCTTATGTAGCAGCAATAGATTCTGGTTCGCTTTAGTAGCGCACTGACACGTGGCACTGTATTGATTAGGTAGTTTTGCTTGTTCATCTGGGTATGAGCAAAATGCAGGTAATCAATGTAGAAAACTGGATCTCCCTAAATTCATCATGTCTCTTGGACTGCATACTTGCAGATTCTTGCGCAAGCATTTTGCGCACTGAACATGCCTCTCTTGTGGTTTAGAAATAACATTTATAACAGAAAGGTGGAGTTTTTAATAGAACTAGATGATCGGCACTGGATTAGGAACGAAATAGTGCATACCTATGCTATGGTAAATATCAAGCATGGCTGTGGTTCTTGGCAACATTTCAGATTTTGGGCTGGTTTTGTTATCTTTTGAAAAAAAAGGGCGTACCCAGTGCAGAGAGCTCCCGCTCTGTGCGGGGTCTGGGGAAGGGTGTCAGTGGCAAGCCTTACCCTCGCCTGTGCAATGCGAGGAGACCGCGACTCGAACCCGGGACCTTCCAGTCACAGGCGGTAAGACTCTACCGCTTGTACCAGGCCCGCCCTTCAAAATTGTAGGGTACCTGTTGTGGCATGTTACTGTTTGTTAAATATTTGGAACAAGTCCTTCCAAAGATCCAAGTTCAGAAGAAAGCTAAGCTAATGTTCTGACATGTTTGGTTTATTTTCCCTACCTCCATGTGTGTGCAATGATGTTATCACCTTGTTCCAAGTTGACTTGAATGTATCCAGAATAGTTACTAACTAGTACTACATAGTTTGTAGACTGCCATTTCTATACTGTTTGGTAAAAGTAATCACAAATACTAAACACCTGAATTTACTGGCTGTTCAATTTTTTACTATCCCATGATAAAAAAACATTTGAATGATATTTTTATCTTTGGAGTAGATTGCATTATGAACTAGGTTTTGTGTGCCAAACCTGCAGGTAGCATTGCTTTTAAGCTAAATTCCTCTTTGGCCCACTGCTTCTATCACCATGATTTTTGTTTGGTGTGCATTCTCAGGGCCTGTTTGGCAAAGCTCCCATGCGGAGCTCTGCTAAACGGTATTTTGGACTGATTCTGAGAAGTGATTCTCTGAAACGAACTATTTGTGAATGGTGATGGTGTCCATTTTTTTTTGCTGTCCATTTTTGCTCAGTTCTTCCAATTTCACAGCATTAAGATTAATATCTATTTGTGCAGGGTGATGATGTCTGTTCGATTTGTGATGATGGTGGCTATGTAACTTGGTAGGTGTACACTGTGCTGATAATTAAGTTTCAGTGACTTGGCTTCGTCATCTTTATATGAGCACGAATATTTATTTCCAAGAAGAACCCATATCTTGTATATCTGTATTAAAGCTGAGTTCAAACACTGGCACATGAGAGTCCCACATCATTACATCCCCCCTACTGTCCTATTTCGCATCCAGTGGCTACGGATAGACATAATTAATGATTTATAAAAATCCAAATTTTGTAGTGAACCACAATTAATGCATACAATTGTTTGTAAAGCCGTGGTCTCTTGGACTCAGAATGTGTTGTCTACTTATAAAAGTACTCACTTCAATCGAATTAACATTGTACTAGTTTTCCTCTTTTACTATAATATAAATTGCAATATTTCTGCAGCAAGGTTCTGACTTGAATCCTACGTCCATACTTATTTCTTCTTTCATTGGTTTTATTTCAGCTGTGATGGTGGGTGTCTCAGGTCTTTCCACCTAACTGAAGAACATGGTGAGGGTTCAAAGTGCCCATCCCTTGGCATTAATAGTGAAGAAGCAAATGTATCTCTTAATTGAGTTGTCAACTTTAAATTCGTGCTTGCTTTTGTATGTACGAATTGCCTCATGTTTTCTGTTTGATAACTCAGATGATAATTGATAAGAAAGACTTCGTATGCAAGAACTGCAAGTATAAGCAACATCAGTGTTCTGCCTGTGGATTATTGGGGTCTTCAGACTTGTCCATGGGAGCCGAGGTAGGTATAACTTGTATGTTTGATTATGTTACACTGGCTTTTGAATTCATTTTTTTTTAAAAAAAAAAGAAGAAGAAACGCGACAAAATTTATAACTGAAACAGTGTCGAAGGGACGGCTCAATTCTTGTACAAAGAAAGAATGCACAAGTATCTCAAGATTCCCTTTTCCACTGGCATATGCTCCAAATGTTTGAGAAATTTGATTTATGTATTCTCATGTGAACAGATGTAATTCATTGTTCATCTCTGCATTGCTTGTCAGGTATTCCAATGTAAGGAATATAACTGTGGGCATTTTTACCACCCTAAGTGTGTTTCCAAACTGCTGTACCCTGATGACAAACTCCGGGCCTGCCATTTCGAGCAGTATGTTGCTGCTGGACTGAAGTTCCTCTGTCATGTCCATAAATGTAGTGTGTCATGGAGCAGAGAATAAGGATGATAAGAATATGCAATTTGCAGTATGCAGGCTCTGCCCAACTACGTATCACCGGAAATGTTTGCCCAGGTTTTCCCTTATACTGGAGAATTAATGAGGCCTCTGTAATCCTCTTCCTTGTCCCTTTGTTAATATCTATATCTATTGATGAAACCTGTATTCTATTTTCCTTGTTTGTCCTTGTTTTTCCAGCGATATCCCTTTTGAAGCAAAGGAAGGTCCAAATGGTTATATTTTTCAAAGGGCATGGGATGGCATCCTTCGTGATCAGATTCTGATATACTGCATGTATGTTGACTCAATCACCTTTGTCAGCTACCTACTGCTCATGAGTTTCTTAATTTTGTTGAATCTTTTGCAGGAAGCATGAGATAGTAAAAGAGCTAGGAATTCCCATGAGGAAACTCATCATCTTTCCTTATGCCGAAAATCTTTGTGTGCCAAAAGGTCCTGAAAGTGCACCCAAGGAACGAGATACATTGGCCCAAGAAGGGCTGCTTGACCACCCATCATCTGAACCATCTCAGTCTCTGCCATCTGCAGCTGCCCAGAATCAATGTTTCTGCTCCAATCCTATGGACTCATTTGCACCAAAATCCTTGTTTCCACATCCATACCCAGGTTCATGTGGTTGGCTTGGCGACTGACCATGTGGCCTTTCTGCCCCTTGTAAACAATACCAACAGAGACAGGTCCTTTGCAAAGCACAAAGACGTTGGTAGCTTGGCTTTGTTAGATATACAAAAAACCCAAGTTATAGTAATACCCTATTCGAGTACAAGCAATGGCTCGCTGGTCCTATCTGCAGTGACGGTTTATGAACATTTGTTTTTGTTGATGCTGATCAGATCAGGCAGGAATTGCTTAGGGCTAGGTCAGTGAAACCATATGACATGTATAGATAGCCTGCCAGGGGTTATAAAACCCGGAATTGGAATACTGCTAGCAAATGGAGGTTATTACTGAAGTAATTACAGTGTTCAGTAACTCTTCATTGACAATGGTTTTCGCTTGGGGTATTTTAGAAGGGTGGGCGAATAATGTGTTATCTTTTATAGGGAACTTAGAAATTGTCATTGATGCTTCAGCTTCACATGCTCCAGGCAAATGGTTTTGTTAGATGCGAGATGGTGAGTCCACGTAAGTGCTATGCTTTGGTTTTCATGCCGAGAAGCTTGGCACCTTACAGTACGATATTCCTCATTGTACATCCAATTTCTAATGATATGATGAATACATTCACGAAGAACTAGAATTACTTTTGCCCATGGAGCATTTCCATAAGATCCTGCTGAGTCCCAGACGTAGAGGAGGATACCCAGTAAGAACCAGCACACTGCTGAATGGTATTTGCTTGATCTATATTTATCGTTAGCCCAGTATAGAAGAAGTTTCATGTGCCTGGCACTTACACAGATCTGTATGACACAACCAGCTTGTAGCTTCAAAACTACATATGCTTGCTCATGGAGGGTACACGGAATGAAGTTAAAGTTTGACAACACTTATTTAGTTGTGACACTTATTTTAGAATGGAGGGAGTATATAGGACACTACTAAGGGGTGTTTGGGACTTACAAATGACAAACTCCATCAGGCAGCTCCACAAAAAACTGGGTTGTGGAGTTCTTTAGGTGCTCTCACAACTCCACCCTTTTTTCCCCGAGCAGTGTGTGGATTATATTATATGTGTTTACATATGAGCTGCTCCCCGGGTCGGTTCTTTATATTATATTATATTATATTATATTATATTATATTATATTATATTATATTATATTATATTATATTATAGAATTTATGTAGGTACTTCTAAGGGTCTGTTTGGTAGAGCTTCACCGGCTCCAGATTCAACAAAAATAGTTCTATTCTATAAATTTTTTTTCCACACGCTCTAGATCCAATAGATCTGGATTCACCACAGCGATGTATATGGGGCTAGATTCATCATTTTGCTAGAGCTCCTCGGGGTGTTTCACCAACTCAAGTTTGGGGGAGTTGTGAAAAATTATCCACCACTGTCACTCGTAACATAAGATACCGGTTCGCTTCTATTTTTTTTTCTTCCTCCGTTCGCATTTTCTTCTCTTCCATCATCGCGACAGCTCGCCTCCACCGCCACGTGCAAGAGCACCGCCTAGTCGCAGCTGGTTCGCCATGGCCCACGCCTGGCCGCGCTCAACTCTTCGCTCGCACCGGCCGACCCCGTGCTTCGCCCGTGTTGGCCCAGCTGGCCGCGTGCCGCCCCTGTCGGCCACGCACCAACTTGACGGCCCCTCATTTTGACAGTCCTAAGTGCATCCGTACTTGCGCCAGGATCATGCACAAGTACGCACAAATCACAAGAATGGTACACTGTTGACGGTAGTTAACATTCATCACAAAACCATCAATATAAGTTGCATAAATGGCTAAAATAGACCACCACTGTAGACTTAGGGGTTTAAACTAACAAATTCCACGAGTTTTGGTGAATATGTGTTGTCAGCAGGATTTAATCAGAAAACCGCCAATGAGGACCTATTTGCCAAAGGAAATTATGGAATTCCGCCGCGTAAACAGCGTGGGAAGACTCCAGGAGGCTCTCCACTGAAGCAGAGCCCGTGCCCTTGACATGTGGGGCTGGCCGGCCTGTGGGCTCCCCTGTCAGCCTCTCCGTTGTTATGTCGGTTCTCCACCGCCTTAAGGATTGCATCTCCGCTGTTTATTCAAGTCAGTTTGATCCGAGGGCTGAAGATTGACGCTCTGGCTTATATATACCTGCCTGCACCCCCTCCTCCAGGGCATTGGCATTTGATCCTGAGAGCCTAAGGGCCAGAAACCCTAATCCATATCTCCACCAGGATCAGAGCTAGCAATCAAGAAAAGATTAGTCCTCGATAGGATCTAGTCTTGTAATAGAGGTAGAGAGATAGAGTGAGAGGGAAGAGTTTCGGAGGAGTCCCGGCCTGTCGGTGCTCTCTCTACGGCTTGTACCTTGGTGGAATCAAGTTCTTCATGAGCTTGCTTCTGAGATTTCTCTGGTAATCGACTTCTAATTCAAGTAAGCATCTCGTTTATATTGATCTTCAGGTTTGCGACTCTCTTTTGAGTACTTTAATCCTTGTAACTCTTGGGTTAAAGTAGTATTCGTAGTGTAAGCGTGGTGCTTAGACTCGGTTACTCGTGGATGTACCATATTTTTCAGATCGGTGGTATCTCGTAAGGGTGACTCTTTTAGCCTCGTTAAATCATTTATAGTCCACCTCCCGTTAGTAGGCCTAGCAGGACTTTGTTACTATAGGAAATATACTCTGCCTGTGTTTTCTCTAGTGATATCCCTAAAATTAAACAATAGAAGACAAAGCTTACCGAAGTTAGAATTAGAAGACCTTAGCAGTCTTCTCTATGCTCCTTTTATCTAGCCTTGATTGTGAAGTTGGGATAAGTTAGATTTGGTTATTCTCACACATGTTTCCTCGAGTTCGATATAAAACTGGGTACTCCCGGTGAAGTGCTACATTGGTATAATAATTGGTATAATATCCATGTGCTTGCGGATTACTCTGTGTGTATTAATTTATACCAACAAGCTTTTCTAGCGTCATTACCGGGGAAACGGTTGCTAAGTTAACTTCAAATCTCGCTTAACCTTGTATCATTATTCTTTTCTTTTATCTTCTTTTTTACCATGGATCTAGAATCCACCCCTATCTACCAATATGGTGCACCCACAAGCGCACGCCTACAGCCACAAGAGTCTTCAAAGCCTATCCTAACACCTGGCTATGAGATGCGCCCATGTTTAATTAACATGGTTCAGGATCAAACCTTTTCGGGCGAAGATGATGAAAACCCTATTCCCACCTAAATGAGTTTGAGTAGACCTACGCATGCTTGCGCATTACAGGCATGTCAGATGAAACCTTATGATGGAAGTTTTTTCCTTTCTCTTTGATGGGAAAAGCGAAACGCTGGTACAATCTCACCATAGGGAGTAGACAATGACATTGGGAAGCCTTGTGCTCTAGCTTTTGCTTGCAATTCTTTCCCATCTCTAGAGTAGTTAGCCTTCGTTCAGAGGTTCTAGCTTTTAAACAAGAAAAAAATCTCTAGGTATGGCATGTGAATGCTTTAATGCTCTTATTAGTATCGGCCCTGACCTTGCCATTCAAGATCCCATTCTTCTTCAACACTTCTATATGGGTCTTGATAGGAAAACCCCAAAGCATCTTAATACGGCCTCAGGAGGTTCGTTCTTGCATGTCTCCGCCAATTCGGGGAGAAGCATTCTTACTAAAATCTTAGAGAACACCCCAGAAGAAGTAGAAAAGAAGTCGTTAGAAGAGGAATCCCAGATAGCTGAACCAGAATCTGTGCCTAACCCATCACCAACTTCAGCTATCCCAAATCCTAAACCACTGGAAAAAGAGGAAACTCCAATTTTGGACTTTATACTTGAATTCGAGGATGGACTTTTTGATGAATATGGAAACACCTCGAATTACCATACCATGAGGTGACCCCAGAAGTCTAGGAAATCATCATTTCATGAAGAACCTTTAGACCCTTCTGAGGAAGCTTTCCTTAAAAAGACTACGAAAGAGCTAGTATCTATTATAAGCAATGAATGGTTAGAAGAATCAGAGCTTTCCTCTGATGTGATTCGCTTAGATTCACCTTCTATATCCATTCATTGCCAAATTAATAAAGCTCCTTTTGATGCTCTTTATAATCCAGTTGTGGGTGTTAATATCATGTCTGCATCTTTTGCTCATGATTTATTGAAACACATGCCATTAACCCAAACAACAAAGTTGTTGAAAGGTCTTTTAGGACACATTCTCCCAAGTTTGGGAATTCTTTATGTCCTCCCTATCCAGGTAAAAGGAACCAAAGTTCATTTGAGCTTCTATATCTTTGATATTATGGAGTTCGACCTGTTGATAGGACAACCAATTGAAAGACTTATCCAAGAAGGACAAACAGGGAAGTTGAATATAAGACTTGGGAAAAACTTTAAGCTTTCTATACCCATCACTCATTCTCTAATGCTGAGACTGAGCCAATTTCTGAGGAAGACCCAATGGAAGAGGTTAATGTTGCATCTCTTGATGACTTGATCGAACCCAACCTTGAAGATGATGCCCAGTTCTTCATCGAGGAGGAAGAAGAAAATCCTATGGAGTCTGAACCTCTAGATAAATTGCTGGAACCACCTAAGCCCACCATTGAGCTTAAACCCCTGCCTTCTGGTCTTAGATATGCTTTTCTCAATAATGATCAGGATTCTCCTATGATCATAAGTGATAAACTCTCTCAGGAAGAATCCCTCCGCCTGCTAACTATCTTAGAAAAGCATCGCTCTGCTTTTGGCTACTCGCTCCAAGATCTTAAGGGAATTAGCCCTGCTCTTTGCACCCATCGCATCCCTACAGATCCTAACTCTATACCTTCTAGGGAGCCACAGCGTAGGCTTAATAATGCGATGAGAGAGGTTGTTAAGAAAGAGGTTTTGAAACTCTTGCATGCTGGGATCATTTATCCTGTGCCGCATAGTGAGTGGGTTAGCCCTGTGCAAGTTGTGCCTAAAAAGGGAGGTATGACTGTTGTTAAAAATGAAAAAATGAATTAATCCCCCAAAGAACTATCACTGGATGGTGGATGT